AAAATCACGGAAAACCATTAGAAATCCAAGAAGTAATTAATCTCAAAGAAAGCAAAACGAAAAATCACGGAAAACCATTAGAATCCAAGAAGTAATTAATCTCAAAGAAAGCAAAACGAAAAATCACGGAAAACCATTAGAAATCCAAGAAGTAATTAATCTCAAAGAAAGCAAAACGAAAAATCACGGAAAACCAATAGAAATCCAAGAAGTAATTAATCTCAAAGAAGAAAGCAAAGAAAAAATAGCCAGAGTAATGTTAATCGAAAAAGAAAGAGGCATGACAAAAGAAGAATTAGAGTCTATATTAATATTCAATAAGTACAACTTTATTGCTGAGCTACATATACATGTTAAAGCTCATTTTAACTCTATCTAAAGACAGGCGTGCAATAAATGAGGGAGGGTCTATATTAATATTAATATTCGGATGACTTTGTGCTACTGAAATTAGAGTAGCACAAATTAAGAATATTTCGAATTTTCATTTGACGCACAAATTCTTATCATTATCATGTATTATTATTAGCCTAATTATAATTGGCTTTGAAATAAAAGCGCAGTTTAAAATTAGTATGCAAGCTGTCAGAAGCAAGGCTTTCATGTCTTCACGGTTCAAACAAAAAATGAGGTTTCTAACTCTTGTTCTCAAATAAATATCTAGTGGGGGAGGGGCAAAAGTATTGCACGTTCGTATTTTATACATTTTTATATGTAATAAAAAACTAACTTCATCAGTTGTCTAAACGAAACATTAATATAGCGTGTCATGATGAGCAGAATAATAAATTAGTAAAAATCCCAATTGTAAATAAAGAGCTTGCTCCTCATAATCACGGTAAAAAAATCTAGCTAGACAACAATTACAAAATAATAAGATACTATCGCACAACAGTTCCAACGGGGGTTTCGAAGCTTACTTACTATGAGTCAGGAAAAGATGATCAATAAAAGAAGATTAGCATTATGGAAGCTGGTTTTACTGTTAAACTTCCGTTACGATGGAGAAAGCTTTAATTAAAGAAAACTTTGTACCGAACGTAGTAGTTCGATGGAACAACCGCCGTTTATTGAGAAAGATCGTGTCGTCATCTTTGTTATTGTTTTGTTTCTCCTTTTTGTCTCATGTCTGATTGATACTTTAATAAATTAATGTAAAAATTTAAAATTTTTTGGCAGTAATTTTTTAGGCATTTGAGTTAGGATTTGGGGTAACTTTTGTTAATAGAAGAGTATATGTGGGTTTCAGTGGCATTAAAAGAGGACCCAAGAAGACCCCAAATTTCACTTTTATATATTAATAACTACGTTGTAAAACTTGAAATTGCACAATATAAAAACAAGTAAAGAAAACCATTTCATAGTTCTAATTCAGAAACGAGTTCAACAATTATTTAATCCCTTTCTCATCAATATAAGATGGTAGATCAAAGCAATTAATCTTTAGTGGTTGTTTGCACCAAATCTTTATCTGAGCTCTGACCCAAATGGCTAAGGTTACTATGATTTACTCTGTCAGACTCGTGTACAGTTTGTAGTTTGCGTTTTCTTGAATTTACACTTTTCGCTTCTTCTGAAAGAACCCAGCAACCTCTAATGATTCAAGGCCTTGTGTATCATATGTTTTCTCCACAGCTAGCTAATACGAAGTTAAGTTCAGAGACATTATACAAATTGTAGAAAGGGGCATGTGATAAAGCGAGCTAATGAGTAACGCAAAAACGAACACACGCCATCGATGTCATGGGGCTCGCTGATCGTTTGTTAGTCACCCATCATAGGTTCCGTCAGAGCCGCGTGACAGCTGTATTTCGTGATTGTCCAAGAATCTTGTTGCTCTTAATTCCCGGTCATAAGCGTTTCCTCAAGATTGAGAATCCCGAGGCCAGTAATCTAAAAAATAGCCAGAAAACTTAATTTCTGACTAGTTATTCTGCTCCATGTTCAAAGTATGCTGTGCTGTGCTGTGCTGTGCTGTGCTGTGCTGCACGCGTGACGCGATGAAAAAATTAGGGCTCGTGCCGCAAAATAATGGCGTGATATTACAGTATAATTGCCATAACAATTAAATTTTTGACAAATTTGTTAGGCCCTGGTTATCTTTTTACATTCAAGTCAGTGAGTATATTCTATTGTTTACTGAATAAGGCTATTATTTCATGCAATTGAAGAATACTTGTATTACAACATGAAAACTATATAAATTACGATCGTTTATTCGAACAATACGTCTCGTAATAGAGTATATATGAAATTTGATGTCTTCCTCTTCGAATGTGCTGTTGAGAACCTTTGAAAGCTTGTCGAAATGTCTGCATGGAAATTGAGGGAAAACCATTTATATTTTTGCTCATTGTCACAAGTGCAAATCTTGACAAGGCTGCAAGGGCGAGTAATTGTTAAATCGAATGTTATTTACTTTTACCTGGCTTGTCATAAAATACAACATGTGCGCTCGATATCAAGTCAAGCATTTTGTTAAATTCATGATGCATCTCAGATAATGTTGTTTATTTAATCTATGAGAAGCACCCATTCGACTAATTCGCTTAGGCCATCGAGTTGGGCACGGTAAATGGGTTCATTGCTCCAAACTCTGCCGTTCACGATGACTTTTTTCTTTACTCTACTGTCTTTCCTTCCTTTATTTATTCATTGCTATTCTCACTGCTCCCGGATGCAGGGCAAGGCTTCTGAAGAGTATATTTTCCAGCCTTCTATGATGGTACCTTGTCACCAAAAGGGGAGACGTCTTATACGCTGTTCTCAAGCTTGTTTATCCTCCATCTAAAGATCGACATATTTAATATATAAATATAATTAATCTCTCCCATTCCCCGATCTGCACAATTTCGTTCACTATGGAGATGTTTTCGCACTTCAAGCGGTTGGGCGCGTCGTTGAATTTGAAAGATATTATAGATGGGAGTGGGTATGAATTGGTTTATATTATCATCGCAGTCATACTCTGTAAATATACTAACAAGAACAATTTCCAGGTTGACAGGGCTATTGAGTACAACGCCAGTAAGGTTTGAACTATTATCAAATCAGTGAACTTCCTGGCGTTTGTTTTCTCAGTAATCAAACGTATAACTTTGGTTCCTGCATTCTCGTAAAGCAGTCGCCCAACGTTTTTGCAAAGTCTTGATTTGCCAGCCACTGAAGCACTTGCTGCGAGGTATTTCGAAGGCTAATCGACGACTTTAGTCTACTCATCTCTAATTCGCTTTATGATTTAGATATAGGGCAGAATGGGAGGCCATCCGAGCCCATAATGAGGAGAACTTTAAAAAAGCCGCTGTAAGCGTTCATAAGTGGGTTTTTTGTGCATGCTCGAATGCTTACATCTACTGGCGAAAATATATTATGAATAGATGGCGGACGAACAAGTATGGAGGATTCTCAAGGCGTGTGAGGAACATTTCGAGACATGTCAACAATTACAATCAGAGGCAAGACAACTTCCCAAAGTCAAAGCGATGATAGAAGAGACTACAGACATGGCAGGTAGCATAACACATTTGGATATTCTCGTAATGACATTTCGTTTTATGAGTAGCGAAGTGGTATAGTTACATTTCTACGTATAGTTCGTTTAAAAGATAGATTGCGAGAGCTGGACACGATGATAAACAAGTGTGTTTCTGACGAAGAAAGAAACAAGAAGTAAATATTGTCATACAATCTCTTTGCAATTGATTTGTTTTTGTTTATTATCTCTAATATCCTATTTTACTGCAGAGTTGAAAGAGCGCAAAGTGAATTCGAGGCCCAGATGGAAAGTTATAAAAAACGTATGGGAACTTCCTGGTCGTTTAATGGTGAGTTTACCATGAACGATCGTTCTTTGTTTGGATATATATGCTAACAAATATGAACTATATTAGGACTATCTGCAGGCAGCCGGGAAGAAGACAAATTAACTAGCTTGGAAAGTATAGACTTATTCACTCAAGAAGATCAAGATGCATTAGAAAATTTTCTTGGGCCGGGAAGTGACGATGAGGCAAATGAAACGTAAAACGCCCCCCGTTTATCAAAAGATAACTCGAAGTATGCATCTGGTTGGTAATAACATAAAACAGAGTAGCAGCCCCGAATGTACAAGACGATCGCAGAACGAGTCGGCTGGAACGAGTGGTGTCAACGGAAGACTGCGACTTCTCCAAGGGATCATAAGTATCGCGATCGGCCGCATCGCCCTGGAGAGATTGTTAATAAATATTATTTACCGTATTGAAAATGTATCTTGTGAAAATCATATATGTCCTCATACTGCTGGTAGGTTCATTGAATATCCCGCAGAAGGTAACGAATCTATTTATCAGCAGTGTAGGATGCCAGCGCCCGGGAGGTGCTTTTTAGACAAATATCAAATAAATTCATACGGATGTTATTATTATATTAAGGAATTCCTGGCGAGTCAAGCGATTGATAGTAAAGACCTTTATTGTTCCGTTACAGTTCTCAGACCACTGTGATAACGGTACAAGAATTGTTATCGCCACATAACATAATGAAGCAGAAAGTCCCAAATCAACAATCTCTATTTTGGGTGTCCGAATGCCAGGTTTGGGGGGTGAACTTCCCGGTTTTGGTATATAAAGAAACCAAAGTTTTCTCATCCCGAAAGAATGTTATGTTATTGGCACTCTAGAAACTTTTCTTACTAAATATCGCCACAACGAAATTGATGGCGCGTTTGCATTTCATGTGTCGGGTCGCGTGCGTACTACCGAATACGTCCCATTTATCATATTTGGTATATTGTTTAGAGTTTACTATGATCAAATGCTAGAAATCTAGCTTTGGTTGCAGGAATCGAAATAATGCATCGTATTAATCTAATATTTGTATGGCCATATCACCACACCCGCTAAATGTGTCAGAGACAGGTGGCGGGAAATAGGCTAAAAGTCTATGAAGAGTTGGGCAGGATTGTAGCTAACTATGTACAATGCTTATTACATGTGCCTTACTATTACTATATCTGCATATGTGGTTTACTGATGCTGAACAATGTTTCAGGAATCCTTTATTATTATTATTAAGTCCAGAGTTGGAGCAATATTTCACATGACAATGGTGGTTATGTATTTTTATAAGGGAATATCATATATCAATATATTTCCGACTAAGAGCTTTGATTATAGATTACCCAAGCTATTAGAATTTTGAAGGAAATGTCTATTATAGAGTTGTATTAAGTTAGTCGGGCAAATCAACAGATTTAAATATATTGTGCTCAGTTCCCTGGCTTCCACGCTCAAATAGTTTATCATATATGGGTACAATAAGCTTCGCGTCGGCGATTATCTTTCTCTTTTATAGAAGTCAAATGATCACTGTAAATCTGCACTACCGAGAACCCGTGATGCTAAAAGCTAACAAATTCTATTACTATCTGGTTTTGCGGTTGCAAACCAGTGGTCGCAATGGCAACTGATTTACCGACAGAATGTTTACATCAGATTTTTAATGAAATGGGTGGAAATATACGAGTTCTTGTTCCCTGTCTGCTAGTAAACAAGCATTGGTGCGCTAACACCGTTCCTGTACTCTGGCGACGACCACTAAGATTATTACAAGAAGATGAAAGCTGCGGTAAATTCACGGCAGAGCAACTTACATCCAGAAAGGCATCGCTGATATACGCTTATTACAAATGTCTTCCTTACAACATCAAACAAAGTATTTGTGTCAATGATTTCGCACAATCAATGCTGATCGAAAGAGCAACTTTCGATTATCCGCGGTTCTTGGAGGAGCTGGACTGTCCCGTTATACAACGTCTAGCATTAAGTTTTGTATCCAAGTATCTGGTATCGTCTTCGTTGGGTGAATCATTATTAACATTATTACAAGGAATATTTGAATTGTTGTTTTCTCGGAGCCAGGGAATTCAACGGCTCATAATGCCTGCTCATAGCTCATATTTTGTGTCAATACCCAGCGTATGCACTTCTCTTGTAAAACTTGAACAACTCTCTATCGACTATCGTATGCCAGAAGAAAGTATTACTCACCTTGCACAAAATTCTAAAGAAATACAGAAATTAATGATACAAGGTCACAAGCAAGTCCCTAAAAATAAAATGAATACTGAAACTCTCTTGTCATTTATAGAATCACAACGGAATCTTCAGGTGTTGGAACTTACAGGGTTCTTTGCCGAAGATGCATTAAATGTCAATCAGCAACTAAAATCAATGACGACCCTGAAATGCAATTGCTATCCGATTCCTGCGGAACTTATTTTACAATGCCCAAACATTCAAACTCTTTTCCTTCCCTCGGACTATAAGTGTTACGGTCATGACATTGAAACCCAGTTACTTCCACTCATAGATCAATCCTTTCCTAAACTTAGTAAGATTACATGCGTAGTAACAAATGATTCGCTTTCTCCATTGACTATTATATTATCAAGGATAAAGGCTCCACTGAGATGTATCAATATAGAATTACCACATTTCGTGTATCGCGGAAATCTTATGCCACTAGCTAATGCTATCTCAATTTATAAAGAAAGACTTCATCAAATCGAATTTCCGATAACATCAATGTGTATTGAACCTATTCTTTATATTCTGAGGAAATGTCATCAGCTCGTTTCGGTAACTATCAAGTGTAATGATAGGGGGTCAGCAACATCAGAGCTCTATGAACATGTTGGAAGATGCGGAGGAAGAAAGATCAAAGAGTGGATATTTGATCTGCCTCCTGAGAGCGTGCCTTCAGCGTCGGCTCTTGATCATTTCATTACAAGGAGGAAAGAATTCGGACAGTCGTTCAGCATTATCGTGTATAAGAATTGGTGGGATGCTGCCCATTTCACTATTTTGCGACATCATGGAATCAGCCAAGGCAAGTATATATGTTTTCAAGATTGGACATAAATCTCGACCAACTATTCAAGTATATGCGATATCTTTTTAAAGGCACGAATGGTGAGAAAGCAGTACTTTCATGGAATCCGTTTTCTTGGCATCAAAATGACTGAAGACCATACAGACACTGACGGCTATATTAATTGGACAATTCCCCTTTTTATTCTTATTTAACTTTTGTATAAAACCTTTTCCAGAGAAATTAAAAACAATACGCTGTAACTAAAGAGAGAATGTACAACAGAAGGAATCACACTATTAACAAAGTATTATAAAATATACAGATATATGAATGGTGGATAGCAGTAGTGATTGTATTATATAATACACACTTCCAATCAAAAATGTTCATAACCACCCGATATTAACCCCATTACACCTTATTTGTGAATATTAAAGGCTCATTACATGGAGCCGGAAGTCCCTTGACAAACAAATTCTTCGGTCGAGTTCCACTTTGCGTCACAACATCATACTTCCGGATAATCAACGACATGAACATCTTCATTACAACTACGGACATGACACGGCCTGGACAAGCATGTCGACCAAGTCCAAAGTGAAGGAAGTCACGGGTAACTTTATGTGCCGGCGAGGATTTGTTGACGTAGCGGAAACCGTTGAATGTGTTCGGTTTAGCACCATTCAAGGACGAGGAAGCATTGAGTTCGTGGAAATTTATCACAACGTGGCGGCCTTCCGGTAATTCGAGACCATTACTAAATTTAAATGTTGGCGACATTACTCGATGATCCAAATCAATGTAAAGATCTTCAAGTCTCATTGATTCTCTTAAAAAGCTATCCAATTTCTCCATCTTTGCCAATTCCTCCACCGTGACGCTTCGTTCTTTCCAATCACTCGTATTCAAAACCGTCCGCTGTTCCTCGACCAATTCATCCCAGTATTCCGATCTGCCGGCATAATCAAACAAACAATCCATAGCACTTCGAGTAGTCGAGTGTATTCCTGCCCAGATAAGAAATATCATTTGGGAGACCATCCATTCGTATTTCGGGTCTGCTTTGTCGTTCCGAGGGTGCTCGAGAAGATCCTGGAGCAAGTCATCGGGACGGGAGTACGATGAACCGAGGAGGGCTTCTTGTTCTAAGCGCTTGGCAGCAATATGGCGAATTTTTCGAATGAGGAGCGACTTGTGCCTTGTGGCGGGGTTGGAGCCAAACTTGAAGCGGAATCTAAAGGTAACAGAGTGTACTGATTAGGAAAAGTTTTTTCGAGAGTGGTCACCGATGTCTTTCAAAGCATAGTAGTACGTACAAGATCTCGTTCATGTATAGTTTCGGATGTATAAACGTAAGCAATGCATTGGATAATGTGCTGTCCGTAACGTCACGCGTGAATGTGCGGAAAGTGTTTACAACTTCTTCGTCTCTTGCCAATTCCTAGTTAAATGTTCACAAGTGTTTGTGTTATTTACGAAGCGATATATACAACCATATGTCCTCTGCGATCATTAACACATTTTTTATCCCGATATCCTTTACAGATACGTACCTCTCCAACAAAAATGTCGGCAATGGCTCTAGACATGCATTCGTGTACGAGTGGTAACATCTCGTTTATGAGTTTGGGCTGCTTACACTCTCCGATAAGCTTCTTGCTTGCTTCTTGTAGTTCAGCGAAAACGCGATGCTGATAGACTTCCATTCGACCAGAGATGCATTTACTGACTAATCTTGCGCCGAGTTCTGCATAATCTGGGTCTTGCACTACATTGGTGATATGAGCGAGAGGAAGTTTCTGTTTGTACGCAAGAAAAAAGATTGCGTGGTGAGTGACATGACGTCGCCATCTTGACAATCATCGTGCTGACTGTTCATACCTCTTCCAATGCATTTACGAAACTCATGTGAGGTGACTTGAATATTTCAGGAGAGTAGCATTCTCCGACAACGGTGTGTAATGCACCGAAGATATAGATCGTGAAGATTTCCCCATACTTCTCTCGACAACGTCTTAAAAGTCCTTCCGGATTATTCATATATTCGATCGTGTGCCCAAGGAGTGGGATTATGTGTGGAACTACCGGTGGTTCATTCTATACACGATAAAGAATTATTAGCTGGATTGCTCTTGTATTATGTTTGCCGACCTGATTGAAAATGTCTTCTATGAATTACCAGCTTTTTTCGTCTGAGTAGCAAATTCGCGCTGAGAATTATAATTGCAAGTAAAAAACAAGGAACGATAATCAAAGACATTTTGACAGATGATTTGGTGTGTAACAAGAGTGTCTTGAGTTTCTGATCTTTTGTTTAGTATCGTTCGGTCTTGATTGCGAGGTATATTTATGGTTGAGCACCATCTTATCATTCCTATGATGACAATGGGACGTTCATTCATTACATTGTTCGACTCGACCTCGGCATTGTTCATGAGCATTAGAATAATGGGAATAATGGTATTCGTGTTAGAATAATGGGAATTGCTGACAATAGTAATACCAAAATGATAGTACAAGACAATGGAATTGCATACATAATACATAATACTAACGTTAATATTATCAGAACCAACAGCCAACCAAAACCTCCAGATTTGTGACACAACACACTTACGATTATGATTGCTTAGTATTGTCTTGGATAATCACCGCCCTTTTCACTAACATATGACATCATGAGATATCAGAGATAAGTGAAAAATGAATAATTCAATGCTAAATGAGAGTATAATTAACTGTTATTATAAATTCACTTATAATTGCTGAAGGCGATTGGTTCATCCGGAACAATCCGTAATTCGCCTGACATTCGCTTGTTTCTTCTAGAAGTAATAAAAGGACAACAAAAAAAACATAATATAAAGCGGGCTCATGCTCATCCCGTCAACGCTAACCATATCCTATCTTTCACATTACTTTGACCTTAACGACAATAGTTTATTATTGTTATTGTTAATACACACATTCTGTGTGACAGCATCACATGCAATATCATACCACCAGTAAAGAGAGATATGCAGCCTTGTATCGTCAATCCTTCAGCTGTCAATAAAAGTGGACCATTTCAACCTAAAACCGTTGACGTTCATATATGCATCAGGTGCAAGAACTAGGTAAACTGACGATGAATAAATTCAGACCGTTCAGCTATTTTTAGAGAATGCCTTTAGCTTGCTGTCTACTCATCCATCGTGTTCATCAGTCGACTTTCATGGGATATTTAAACCGCCAACTCTCTCACACACACAGGCACGGTTTCTATATTAAAATATATTCGTCTTGTTTTGTTCAAGTAATCAATTATGAATTGCAATACATATATAATGGTAATGTCGGTAATGTTGGTAATACCAGCATTAAAACTGATGGCATTTTATAATGCCTGACTTAGTTATACAACATTCGCATAACAGGAAGTGATATTCTAAATCACGTGTTAAACGGTAAGCTGCATTTAGTTTAGAACACGTATTAAAATTGGCATGACAAACGGCTACTCTTTTGGAATAGTCACCCCATGTTTTCCCGCTGTAGAAGACCATTCTTGATATGATTGGTGCAACTATTATTGCGATGATACAATCGAGCCTTAGACTACTAGTTTCTATCTAAACATGTCCGCATAAACTGCTACCACGTTTTCAGGCAAAGGGAGAATTCCCATCGTAAGCTCTTTTCACAAAGCCGAGTCTGATTCCAAATAAGGATCTAGCATCCATGCTACGTTGATTACATCTAAAGCTACAACAAGTGCGTCTACATAGAGACAGTTTAATCGTCGCAACAATTTCCTTCTCTGACAGATCTACAAAAAATCGTGGGCATTAAAAAGATTACGCAATCTATTTTATATGACAGATGTCAATCTCTTAGAGTTGCAGCGGCCATCGTAGCACAAAATATTTATTTATTCGATAGAACCCGCTGGTGGTCATCTTGCGCCTTTATCGACATTTGTTCGGGAAACAATAACGACGGAAGTCTCTACTTTCCTTTCCCCCGTCATCACTACTAAACTTCCTCATTGAAGTTTATCAACAAGCATGTCGATGCCACTAGCCCCTCAAATCGCGCCTTTTGACTATCGACTTATTCCCAGCTCTATTCGTAGAATACCAGAAAGCCGCGTTCGTAATTTCTCCTATTGATTTACCAAAAAGCTATGTTTGTTTATATCGTTGCTAATGAATGTTTGCGGAAACGTATAAAATATCATTCTATCTAACAGATGAAGCACTTTTTTGGAAAGATAATTCCATTAAAGTTCCCTTCGGTAAAAGATGCTTCAGCTACGTGTCGAGCTCTAGCTAAAGATTTTGGGTTTACTCTTAAACAAGAAACAAGTTCAAGCAAGGTTAGTCCGATTGCTTAATTTATGGAGAATCTGTATGTATTGAAAAGCATCAACCAGGCACAAATAATTTCAACATCCATGAGTAACAATCCTAAATGAATTTGTATTACAAATACCATTACATGGTTTCACTTTGACTAGAACATATACTTGTACTGCTCGCGTGAAGGCATCCCAGACTCGCGAAAGGGCAATAAACCCATAAAACGCAAGCGTGCATCTATTCGATGCGATTGCAAGTGGCGTATTATTTTATTTCAAAACGATGTTGATAAGCAGTGGGAATTTCGCCAATCACAAAATCCGCAGCATTGCGAACACAATCACGAGCTGATACCACCAGAGCTAATGCCGAGACCGTGGCCACCCAGCATGCTGGAGCGTATCGCCTATTATGTCAATTTAGGCGTGCGTACTAATGAGATAAGGACCGCTATTCAGCGTGAGTTTCCTGACCAGCCATGGGACGAAAGACGTTTCTACAACAGGTTGTCCGATGAGAGGTCAGTCTTTTTTAATATCAAAAAGATTTTTGGTATTTCAAGCACGCGTATTTGGTGAAGAGAGAGGCTTTGCGTTTGAAATGTGGCAAGCTTTATTCCGCTATTTACCGATATATCGATTATACGCGGCGGAAATTTTTTTTTTTCCAAAGTGGCTATGTTGTTTTCACATGGGTTTTATTCAAATTTGACATCTGCATATTCATCGCCAAATAGAAAAAAAGCAAAAGCACGTGAAACTGAAAAGCGTGTCAATGCAACCATGTCAATGGCTGCACGTGTTGCCTCTGTAGCATGTTCGAGTAAAGAGTGCACAGACAAAGTCCTTGCGGTGTTGCAACGCGTCTATTACGAAATATGTGATATCGCTAAAATAACCCCCGAACCAGCCGAGAATGGGTTTGTGTCTTCACCATCGCCCAATGACTTTTCGGTTAATTATCCTAGTTGCGTCATCAATGTTAAGAATCTACCGTCACGTCCTGGAAAGAAGAATCAATCAACATCAGAATCGATACCACAGAGCAAATCGATTAATAATCATAATGACACGCTAATACAACAAGAGCAAGAGCGCAGAGTTACTTCGGCACTCGAGTATACGGCACATCCAGAGAAATCTCCAATGTGTGAAGAAACTAGGGTTCAACGGCAACTGTTGGTATCTACGAAAATGGATGAATCCATACTCACAAATTATTCATCTAGAATTATGGATAAAGAATCCACTGTGAGTGATGCAAGTTCCTTCGACAGTTGCAATAGCGCGTTTCACTTCGAAAGGTCTGTGAAAGAGGCTACCGAAACACATTCGAATGAATTGATTGGGAACGAAGATTCGGAGGTTCAACTGACATCGATTGACCAGAATATGAGAGGTTTACGATTTGTCGAGTCTACTCGGAATGTCGATTATACAACGAGCGAAGTCAAATCGGGGAGTGATGAAGTAGACAACGGGGTTCGATTCGTTATTCCGTCAAATGCTGCTGCTTCAGTTTCAAATGGAAGTCCACAGATGGCATTCGTTACCTCAGGTTCGTGTCTTATCAAATTTATTCTTATTTTACTAATGTGAAAGAATATACTTAATAATACCTTTGCAGATCCGTACAATTGGGCGCTGTATCACACTTCGATGCGCCAACGTATTCCGTCATCACGTTTATGTCTTACGCTTCCACCAGAAGAACTTAATATTACCACTTCAATGCAACGCCAATCGTCGCTAAATTATTCGCAACAATACTCACAGACGTGTTCGCCACAATCTATCCCAGATATCCAGCACAATACATTGTCTTCACATCAGTTATCAGACCACGCACAACAGTACCAGCAAACGCATTATAACAATCTCCAACCGGTGTGGTATGCTTAAATAATTTATAAGTTACAAGAAAGCTATGGGATAGGATTTCCATATTCAGGGCTAACATTTATTGGATCTGGAGTGTCTTCAATCGATATGCAACCTATGCGAAGTATTTTCGTTCATTTAAGTATGACTGTCTTTTGTATAAACTGACAGCTATAAATCGCTAATTATGGTATTTTTTTTAAGAGTCGTTTTGCGTATAAAACAAAAATTTAAAACAAAAATCACGTATAGAAGATTCAGTAAATATATGCAGGTAAAGAAAGAATCATAATAAAGACGTTCAGAAAACGGCTATAGACGGTCATTACTAATGATTATTTTATCAATCAATCTATAGGTTAATTTGGGGGCAAATCTTCAAATTTTTTCAAGGTCATCGTCTCGTACTTGAGTCATTAAGACAAAAGAGATTGACCGTCCGGACAATGAAAAAAAAAAAGATAGCATATTGCATATTAATGTCACTGTACCGTAATGTTACATGATTGCTTCTATAAAATGTTATATAAATTCTCTTTTATCGCGTCGTATTAAAATCACTATGTTACCCACACTCATTTCTGTTGGGTGTCACTAAAGAATAATGTGCGCATAAGAGCCCTAATCGAGAAATCTATGGAAATAATGTGCATATAGAGTATCAAAAATTCGGCTTTCCGCACCCCCTCTCCCCACTTCTCTGGTATTTATGCATATTTTCAATGAACCCAAATCAAGGTCTCACCTGCAAACCGAACATCAAAAACGCGGTGATCATATTTGTGCATGGCCACGCGGCAATGCAAAATGGGTTCAATGACCTTGTACCAAACATGGAAAGTACGTGCAGTAGACACTCGCAACAATCCGTACCTCAACGGGCTCAAGCCAGACATCAGCATATTCAATCCCCAAAATATATCTGATGGCGCCTTTATTCCAATGTTTGTCCGAACAGTCCTAGAGTTGAAGCAACGAAAAAGCGAAACTTCGAACCTTGGCAACGAAGACAAGGGTCAGCTGATCGACTACATTCAGATTCTCGCCCAACAACAACCATTACGTCGATTCTTCCCAATTTCTCTGATGCATCTAACTTTTATGTCATGGTCTATGATAGGAATAACGGGCAATATTCAGAATATTCAACTACGTTCACGGAAGGTTTTTCAATATCCTTGATATTGAATCAGTATTGCTCGATCTTAATATGCCAAACCTGAACTCAACTGGAATGATTCTGAGATTTCTCGGCCAAGGCTCGTCAGGACTAGTGTATGCAGTTGATTATAACAGTGATGCAGCTGTAGTGAAGATTGCTTTGGATGGCCGTTCCTCTGCTTTGGAACAAGAACATTTGATTCTGCGATTATCGAATGAATGCTTATATCTTACAAAAGAGCAAGTAACATGAAATTAGAATATCAGATCAGTCAGTTGGGAAGAGGAGACAGTTGGCACTGTAATATCTGTAATTTCTGTTCTTTGGAGAGTAATAAAACTCAATTGCCACTCATGAATTGGTAGCCTACAATACCAAAACTAGTGGCTATAATGATATTGCCTATATTTGTGTTGAATGTAAAGGAGATCTTGATAATGGCACCTTGCCACACTTAACACTGTAATGATTGTGGTTGAGCTATGAGAAACAGGGTAAATTGCTTCTGTGATTTAAGAAAAGATGAACCAGTCAAAACTCCAACTATAATAGAGATAATGGCACAGAGTTATGTAGGTAGATTAGAACAGCAAAATAAAGACTTGAAGCAGCAATTAGCTGTTGCCAAGGAGGAAATTGGTTATCATCTGGAAGCTTTGGAAATTTCAAAGGATTGGCATAATAAGCAGAAATAGAAACAAGAATTATTAGATAAAATTCAAAGACTTGAAAATGATGTTGAATTCTTAAGCAAACAACAAACCCAACACATTGCTCAAATTGAAGTTAAAGAAAATAAGAGATGACCTTGATTGAAATTAAGAAAGTAATTTAAAGATTGGTAAATTTAATTAGTGATTTTTTCTTGATCTAGATAAAAACATAAGGGGCAATTTTTCTCCTTGAGCTTTTTTTAAAATACTTCTAATGGTGATGTAATTCTTGGGTTCCATGGTGGATTTAATGTAAATTAATATTTTTTATGTAGAGAATCCTATATATTAATCCTGTTATGGTTTATATTAATCACATTCTGGTATGATAAAGTGAACATTAAAATTAACAAGTTTATGAGTTATGAATGAGCACCATTATTACTTTTCAAAACGTCATCAGTCATACTGGTCAATTTTACAGCCACATCATAATCATAATCAGCCCCTCATTTATAGAATGTTCACTTTGTCTGGTTTTGTTGTGGCATGCCCCAAATTTTGACAAGAGTATGTGATATTACGTCATATAATGATTTTCTCTAGGTGTCAATCTGAGCTTTTCAATTTTTGCTTGGGATAGACTCAAAAAGTGTGTGATATGGAGGGATTTAGAGGATGTGTTGTTCAAGAGATTCTCGGGGTTGTTAGTAGTACAAGACATCCCGATCACGTGATAAGATAAAACTACGAGAGGAAACGTTTGCCTTGATATATGTAAATCTGTCGACTGCCGCAGAAAAATTCGAAACGATTTACGGAGTCGATAGTCATGATTGAGAGAAACACTAAAACCATATGATCAGCGATTTTAAAAAAGCATTTCTGTTAGCAGCGCCAGTATTCCTCATGTTAGTAGTAAATCAGTTGTTCATATTCAATTCTTGAATTTCACAAGGAAAGATGCTTAGATTGGATCAAGAAAGATTTAAACGATAACTAGAGTTGAACTTTATTTCAGGTAAAACGACAGTTATGTTATCCATAAGACGAAAGGAAAAATAATTATACATAACGTAAAATTCTGGAAACAATAATAATTTGCTAAACTGTTCTTTTCCTCCTTGCTTTTGTCATCTTTCAAGCTTTTCTCCAAAAACAAACAATCAGTATTTACAAAAAACTTTATATTTTGTAAACACGTGTATCTTATTACCAAAGAAACTAGATGCTCTAGAACGATTTATAGAAATATAAAAGCTTTGGTCAACCTCAAGGGCAAGGTATGGTGCATGCATACGATACGCCAGTCGTCAGTTAATTTTTCATTCTCAGAGGTTTGACTTTGACGAGAATTAATGTTGACGCCATATTTATAAATAAAGTATAAGCCGGCACACGCGCATACATTCCGAAAATGTCGTACATGATGAACTTAAATCTTTGTCTCGTCGACATCTTCTCAGTTATGATACATTTACAAGAACAACTACCTGTGGTAATTTGAAGTATTCGGTCAACCGTCTTTATATTCCATCTTTATGAATTAGTCTTGTTGATGTTTCTGTATATTATTATAATATTATTATTAATATTATCCATGGCGTAAAAAAAAAGTATTGTCATATTAATGGTTTTACAGGATGATGAATAGTTTTTAGCAAACGAAATTTGAAAACATGAGTAATTTTTTACGATGAAAATAACAGTACCGATTTGCAGAGTTTTAAGATAATGTGTGCTTATGCAAGACCAAGATTTAAACTTTATGGCTATTAAGATCAAAGCCATGCAATGAAAGTTTTGGAAATAAAAACAAACATTAAATTTCAAATTCTTAAACAAATTTAAAGCAACTTTATTTCTATTATTGCAAAAAGACTATTACCAAATTAAAAGACTCTATTAACGAATATTGATTATTAATAGACCATAAACAATAGCCTATTATCTAGTGTGGGTTGACATGTGCTTACTTTTAAGACGTTCATCAAAACGTTGAACATAACTTTATAATGCAATCTCCCTTCAGCTTGTTCCACATCTGACAAATACATTATCGCAATCTGTCCGTGTTCAACAGCATCTCGGGCAGCATGATGCAAAGCCCGATACGGGTCAAATTATCGTACGATTACAATGCTCGAGTACCGTCTTGGTTCACAAGTAGTGGAACATATCTAACATTAAGCGAACGAGTAAATTATGTGCATGGCCGTGGAGAGCGGAGTTATCTCACAAATATGGTATTTGCACTCGTCAGCAAATCGCAGCCTCAAACCACACAAATTATCTGTTAGTATTTACATAAAAGTTTGACCTTGATAACAATAACAACAAATGATATATACACTTTTGATCGTATGCTTTCCTCGATGTCATGTTATTGGCTTTTTAGCAAATCACGAAGTGTCAGAATTCCCCCAGGTTTACTATTAATGGATCATGTAACTGTAACAGCTTGTTGTTGCTATGCATATATCGATATAAAACGTTCGATATTATCGACAAACCAAGAAATCCGACGCTTTGTTTCTTGATTAAATGTCGCGCAACTTTTTTGAAACTCGATAGTTGGCAAGCAATTCTTTATTGAAAATGAATGCTAATACGAATACGGATAAACTTAAACTTCCAAGTATGACTGCTTATGTAGCAGCATCATTCAGCCTGTATTACTTTTGTGTGACAATGAGGTAAATAATGATCGAGTAGTACCATGTCTTAGTTATTTGGTAATAAAACCAAATACGTCGATCAAGGTTTCTACAGACCAAAGCGGGGTAAAGTCGGTTTGTTGCCTTTCAATTTGGTAGACAAGGGCAATCAAAGTCCTGTTTAAAGTCCTATTTCGTAAGCATCTCGCTTCCGCAATTGTTTGTTCTCGCTACTACTACAAATAAAAAACCCCTAACCATTAAAATTTATTCTTGTATATTCGTCACACCAAACAATGCAAACATACTCGTAGTGGCATTTTATTATTTTTATTATACAGCATATCCTCTATATCGATAAACAAATGAAAACCATATTTGGGCACAGATATGCGGAATGCGCTCAAATTAGGAAAACAGTCAATAATTCTAGAAGCTGTGCTACAAAAACGCTTACACCTTCGTTTCCTACATTCAAGGAAAAATGAAATTTACTTTATATAAAACCCCTCTCCCCTCCTCCTTCTCACCATCCCTAAACATACCGCTCTATGATGTTTGCCTTAAAACCAACACTAATCATTCTTTACACCCTACATACGCTCTTTACTGTGGTACTTTCGGAAACCATAACTATTCGTGTTGGGGATGGGGGCAACCGCTTTGTACCGAACACTGTTTCGGTTCAGACGGGCGATATTGTTCAATGGATATGGAGTAATTCAACAAAAGGGCTCCACTCTGTCACTCAAGCAGACAAAGAAGACTCTTGTAATCAATTGGCTGGTGGATGTAAGTTCGTTATGATAACGTCCAATAAAATGACGTTTTCGAGAACAAGGAACAATAATATAATGGGATTTTTATTCATATATAGTTAACTACGGTCCCTTCCCTGCTGGAGATTTATCTTCTAATCACACAGAATCCCTAAGCATCCGCAATCAAACGTCGGGAAAGGTAGCTATAAATTTAATGTACAGAGAGGATGTGCAATAATCATTAGCGGCGCACTGCATCCCAATCACTAACTCTCCCACCTCCTCATTGTCGTATTTTCCCTATTTGAATTCTAGATATTTTTCTATTGTAACGTTGATTCTCATTGCCAAAATGGCATGCAAGGCGTAATAAATATTGTCTCAACAACAACTACTACTACAACAACTACTACAATGGGAAGCGGAATGACTAGCTCGACGATTGTGTTAATTGCAGTGTTTGCTGGTATTGGGATTTTATTCATCCCATGTGCGGTTTGCATCTACTGGAGATGCAAATCAGCTAAAGAACGCAAAGAAATAGCCAAATTAAACTCCCCTAAATCGAGTACAGGGGGAAGTCAAGAATCATCATCAAGCGGGGGAAGAAGCGATAGGAAGAAGCGTGATAATGGGCCGTCGATATTCTTCCTGAAGGAAAACCCATAATAATATAACAGTAATAAGATGCGGGTTAGGGGAAGTAATGTCTACTTAAAGTGTATATTCTGCTGTACTTATATTGTATGTATAATCTTTCGAGGAAGAATAATAAATGTCATGATCAAATTCCATCCTAGTTTGCATATGTAATTATTGCAACATGCTTCATTCATTCTCCGTAAAAACATTACAACATTATCAAAACACAAACTTTTGTTGATCGGCTAATTACATGCGCCTTTAACTACAAAGAAAATTTGCTGGGGATTTGAAAAAAAAAAGAAGAAAAGCTTACAAATGAAACGTATTAACCATCAAGAAATTATCACAAAAAGGAAGAAAGCAAGAAGAAAAGTTCTACTATCTACAAAGTATTTTACATGATCGAATCAGTACAATATCTTTACATCTATCGGTCACGTTTTCGCCATAATCCGTCAGAAGACAAATCCACTCCTACAACTACCCTCTCGTTAGCAGGAATATTAAGCTTTTTACATTTCCTAAGGATTGCTCTTTCTATGGTATTCTTATAATATGCTTTACATTGCTCACGGGTTCTTGTCTTCACTGCCTTTGCGATTTCATCCCATCGATCACCATAGCTAGAAAATGCCAACTCGAAACGCTGCACTTCTTCCACTCGCCATTTACCAGTACGCATAGCCAACGAAACATTGTTCGCAAAGTGTCTTCTCACTTCCTCTATTGTACGACTCGGAAGTAGCGGTGTTATTCTGCTCCAATCAGGTCCATACATCCGGTATGCTTCAACAAGAGTGATCAGTTCATCTTTGCTCCACTTTAAACCTTTATGCGTCGGTGACCAGGTATATCTCCATTTCACAACACGTGGATCCTTTTTTAATTGCTTCGCGATTGGCTTCCAATTTTCGCCTAGTTTGGTCACTAACAGTTTGAGTAAATGGTCTTCTTCTGGGGTCCAGTGATACTGCTTACAAGTGGAAATTTGATGCCATCGATCTTCAAGGTCCGCCGGTGTACGATTTGGAAGACGAAGGGCAAGTTTTTCCCAATTACCTCTACCATGTCGAGCACCTTCATTTATCAACCTATCTTCATCAGGCGACCATAGACCAACATTGTCGCTCGTTAGACGTCTGTATTTACGTCGTATAGCAGTCGCTGGTTTTCGTAAACCAAAGCAATATTCGGCAATGAATTGCCAGTTTTTACCATAATTCTGTACCGCATTAATAAGTACGACAACATCTTTTTCAGGCCAGCTTCCAACCTGGGCAGGGTCGTCGGCACATTTACCGCGTGTGGGCTGCGTCTCGACGTCACGCATCGATAGCGTCAGTTCTTCTTCGCCAAAGCCATTTCCAATGCCATTTGTGAAACCGGTGAATCCCCAATTCATATCGCTGCTGAACGACGCAGACGAAACAACTACCATCACTTCAGGTAAAGTTTCAAATGTTTCAAATGTTTCTTCGCAACTTCGTGGTGTTTCACATAGACAATCGCCGCTCACGGTGCTTGCTGATTCATAAGCGTCATCGGGCACATCTTTTGGGGAATCCATTAATATTCTTTCCACCCCATCCATAGAGTCCACGGACTCGTCCGTCGTTGAGCGTTGTGGATATTGCTCACCGTCATACCTATATTCTGTGTCCAAGGGTAATTTTTGCGAAAGTCTGTTGAAATATGGGGATGGCAAGGAAAAAAAAAGATATTAACAAAGCATTCCAAATTAGACCTTCCAGCACGCGCAGATAATAATTTGTTGCCATGAACGCGTCAACACAATAAAAAAAATTCTATATACGTTTTCGACTCCAATATTCGCAAACAAGAAATGACTTCAACCAACGTACAAGTAACCCCAATCCTCGTTTAGACTCATGGTTTCCCTTCACAACTACGCTGTTATGTTTCCGTAAAGGATAATCCAGCTGACTCGTTTCTCCGTTCTATTTATTTCTTGTGAACGTTTGCTCCAATGTTATACCAACCGCGCAAATACTCTTGCAATGAGGAACTTGCTAAGAGTGTTTAGCCAGTTTTAGCGCTTCGCCAATGTCCAACGTTAATGTTTGACGATTATGTCGATTAATAACAATTATTGAGAAATAAACAAAGGCCACCCGTGTGAAAAATGAATGATGCCTTTCAAACTCGTTTGTATTGATGAAATGCCGGCTAGAAGGTTACTAATAGTACAAAAGGCTATTTCAAATAACTGTCGTCTTTTGCAGAAACGCACGCTCTGCTGCTAGAGATTGTCAAGTGGATCATCGAAATAAATTTCAATTCAATATATGTGACAACAATGGCACGACGTGTAACGAGATCCTGGGCGGAAGCTTTGTTCAGAACTCCGCATACCAACCACAGTGAGCCACTCGGAATCTGAACTCCAGAGGCTGGAAACCATTGGTTCTATTGGTTTAGCCACACTCATATAAGGAAATCAGTGTAACTGTTTGTACTTGAAAAGTTTCAAAGCGTTTGTTCCCTTTCCAGTTGATTAATTGACCGAGAAGATATATAATGAGTTCGTTCAGGCGAATTGTACCACATACTCGCAAAGTTCCACGAGGCTCTCGACGGTCTCCATATAACGGACAGCTGGTGGTATCAACAGGCGTTCCTTCCTTGGATGATATCCTGTTCTAGCATCATGATTTTCGGCAACATTTAACCTCATCATCGTCCTTAATTTGTTTACTTACATATTCTTGGTGGTGGCCTTCCCATTGGCTCAGTTCTTCTCATAAAAGAAGACAGATTTACCGGTTACGCCAAGCTCTTGTTGAAATACTTTATCTCTCAAGGTATTGCAAGCGAAAACGAATTACTTGTTGTGGGTGATGGCGTAGAGAATATATGCGATGGATTAATGTGGTTGAGCGAGGACAAGGATGAGAATGATAAGGAAAAGTCAATATCTAAAGAAAATGAGGATGACCGAATGGCGATTGCTTGGAGATACAAAGGGCTGGGAAGGTTCGAGTCGGGAGTACCGACAGGAAAAGGTAAACACATGATCGGTTATTGATCAAGTTACGATAACGCAACGGTTGTTGATTCTCCTATATGCACCATAGTCACTCCATCGATGACTTTGTCGAAGCAACTTTCGAAAACAGATGCTCCTCGACCCTTTTGTAATACTTTTGACCTGACAAAGACAATTCCAGAATCGATTATAGGAGCCGCATCCCTATCTTTGCTAGACATTAACAATATCATTGAAGGTAGCGGTGACACAAGATTGTATGACCAAATTCTTCAGAAAATAAGAACAATGATGAAAGAGAAGGGCTTAAGGTATAACACAATTATCCATTTGCTTTTTAGAATGACATTGGTAAAAGTGAATGTTGATTATGATAACATTTTCAGCAATATAGAAGCTTCTGACGCGAGTGAACAAGTTAATACACTTCGGATTTGTATTGAATCAATTGATTCTCCAGGATGGCCGCCACAACGTCCAGGTGTACGTAAACGCGGGTAGCTGACTAGCAGGTCAACCCTTGTTCGAATGAAGCGACGTGTTAACCTTTACTCTATCCAGGAAGTGTTTAAATTCTTCCATGCTCTGCGCGGACTCTTACGCTCCTCAAATGCAGCCGCCGTCATAACAATGCCTGCTCATTTGTATTCGGATGACTCTCAAGATGTTGTCAGGCGAATTGAGCATATGTCTGATGCTGTAATAGAACTAGATTCATTTGCTGGTATGTAGAAGCTGTTTGTTTTTTAATTGCTATTATCATTTATATTTAAACTGCTTTATCTGTCAACTATGCAGCAAGGCCGGGAACTGCAGATACGGCATATAGTCAGGATTATCATGGTCTCTTCTATGTCCATAAACTTCCGGTGATAAATTCTCTTGTTTCACCATCGACAAAACTATCGATACTCTTAGGGAGTGGCCACAGTAATTTGGGATTTAAACTAAGGCGGAAGAAGTTTTCGATTGAGACATTCCATCTTCCACCAGAGGGGGGGGTTAGCGAAAGAAGGACTGGACCGAATAAGCAGAAGGGGACTGGGGAGGCGGAATCGAAAATTGCAGGCAAAGTTGCCAGTGTCGGTTGCGGCTCGTTGCCTGGAAAGACGGATTTATACGAGTTTTAGCTGAGAATATTGGTATAGTTTAGTGTAACCATTCTAGGTTGGAAGATGTGAGTTGCTAGTATTTGTTAATATCTTGTATGAGAGTTAACTCATAGTTTATTTTGTTACCCGTTAGTCCAAATTTGACAAAGATTGTCACATATCGTTTCCAAATATAATGAAATTCCCGAGTCAACGTGACACTTAATTAAAGGAATTTTTAAATATACATTTTAAGGGAAAACTTTAAATAGAAAGTAATTAACTTGGCATTGAAATTATCTATTTTCCGAAAATGTTTAGCAGTCAGTCTCGTTCAAGTTATTATGTAGCGTGCTCGTTATATTATATTATATTTATTATGTTATAGTTGTATTATCGTGTGAGAATCACGAATCTCGTTAGAGCTGTGGGATAATCAGAATAATATAAAGAAGATCATATCTTGCTTTGGAAAGATGCGGCCCGATAAGTAACTTTATTGATGGCCAAAAAAATAGGGATGCATGAAAAGGATACTATTCTTGTATTGCTGAATAAGCCATACGCCTAGTATGGGAATCAGCAATGTAAATTGAATACAATAACGAATATTGGCGTAAACTCTTGTGTTATTGTGAATATCACTGGTAAAATTATCACATAGACAAACGTCAGCCGCTAATATCTGGGGTTGTTGAATCGTTGTGTTTTCCATTGGCTATCTTTTAATCGTACGATTCTAACAATAGCTTATCAACAATATCCGTGTCATACAATAGGCATGAAGAATTGTACAGCCTATGATTCGTAATCATGCTTGTACGATCATTACTCACGAGCATTTCTTATTCTAGCATTATGCATATATCGGGTATGGTCAAATTCCACACTTTTATACACTATTCTAAATTAGTCCATTCGTATTAGTATAATCGGCGATTATTTGAAGAATAGCAAAACATGCATAAAAGTGTCGGTCTCGTTTCTTGACTACAAATATTGTTGTTCAGCTTCCATCAATTTTTAATATAATGAATTGAATCTACCACTACTACCCAATCTTTTACTTTATGATAACTAACACATGTTTGAGAGTAATTTGCTCATTGGCAACAATCATACGATGCACAAATAAAAGGCCATCTGAGCGATCGACTCAGCGAACGGTGACAGCGACACAACATTCATGTGTACAGATTGTTGCTCATGTGACGATAGTCATAAACTAATTCTTACATAAACAGTTGATCGAAAGTGAAAAAAATATTACTAATTGGATATATGACCAATGCGGAATAAACAAGATTCCATTAGAGACTCTTTGCGCACATGATGAACAAATCGAATGGTTTTAGGATAGAAGTTTTCTGGGAGAAAACTCTTTGTCGTTTATTATTATTGACATCTTAATCTCGTGATACACGACGCGTTAAAATTTAATTCTTTACAAAATACTGTTTTCGAAACACGGATATAAACGAAAACCTGATTACATCGAAAAGAAGCTCGTAAAATAATTGGAGCGACAATTGGTTAATACAAATTATCAGAGATTATATTTTATGGGCAAAAAAATTAATATACATAAAATTGGTTAAGGCCTCGTAAACAAATCATGAATGGAAGAAAACTAACATGCTCAGACATGAATAACAAATCCAGGTTTTATGAAAACCTACAAATAGAGAAAGACTTGAGAAATATCATAAGAATCATTCAGTTTAACAGTGTGCAATAGTACCTCTGGATGAGTTCGAAACAAACGCTCATTTGATAATTATGAATCCAAAACATATAAATATATTAAAGAGAATTCATTAAAATCACTTAATTACAATGTTTATGTCTAATGCCGTGAAACCCTGTTGCATCAATGTAAAACTCTCCATAAGACATCGGCACGTGAGGAGCCAACTGAACCGAAACTGTTCTTTTCCTGTTTCGACCACAACCAATTCTCGCTAATAAAATCCTCATATTTACAGAGCTTTTCCACACAAGTCCCAATGCGGGAATTTTCCCTGTAACTCTCTGGTAACGACGGTAGTCATAATCGCACGTTCCGACATACTGTTCGCCAACTTTTTGTCTCTCCTCCCCATCTTCACATGCATCTTTCCCCTCATTATGATCATTCTCATTTTGAATATCAACATCTACCCTCTCTCTTGAATTCTCATCCTTCCAATCGTCGTCGTCCTTAATAGAATCAGACACCTGGTTAACGCAAACAACTGCGACTCGAAATCTATCACTCAACTCTTTCAATTTAGCTCCCAGTTCACATATGTTTTTTGCTCTCTCTTGCCAGTTGCTACCCATCAAACTTTCGTCACTACGGAAATTTGCGGCTATCGAATCAATTACAATAAGCCGTATGTTAAATCTAGACAACAGCACCGGAAGTTGGTAATGTATTATATGATACTGGGAAGAAAGATCCAAGATACGGGCGACATGTACGTTGGATCCAAGATCGAGGTCAGATAGAAATGGATACGTATGATGGAATGTAGATAGGAGTTGATAAAAGCGAGATGTGGGAAATGGGTTATCAGCTGCGAGGTAAACTGCACCTAAAATAAAGCAAGAAACCCGGTTAATCAATCACAATTGACACTAATCAGTGTAGTGAATATCATTATACTGACCTCCGTTAAGCCCGCCGTATTCTTGTGATAACTGGACCGTCATACATAGCTGAAGACATAATTGAGTCTTACCAGCAGAACTACCGTCGAATTAATAAAAACGTTCTCTACCATGCATATTCAGCTCCACTACCGTGAGAGTCAAATAAACTACTGTTTACCTCTCACCTACAATCTCAGTGATCCCTTGACATAGTATTCCACCGCCGAGTATATCGTCAAGCACAGAGTCACCGGTCGTTAATAAGATGTGTCTATTAGTATCGAGTAGTTGAAGAGCTGTTGTTGGTCGTAACCGTGTTTTGTATACTTCTTCGGACACACTTTTCAATAGCTCCTGAGTATCATTCTCGGATAATTTCAGTATGGCTGAAAGATCACTTGGCGGGCAACGACACACGTCCGCGAAGGTCTCAAACGCGGCTAAATGTTCGTTAAAGCAAAATACTTATAAGCCAATGCTGAGCATTTTGTAGTTAAGCGTGTGTCTACATACACTTTTTTATTGCCTCTTCTATTCTTGGGCGCAATATCAAATTAGCAAGTTCATCCATTGTATTATAGTAAAAACGCGTTTATGGACACGAAAGCTAAATGCTAGGCTGTGTACAAGTCACGCGATATTTTGTCGCGTAGTCGTTTTAAAAAAATAGGCATGGATTCTCGTTGCCAATACTTGAGACAATCGGACACCAAAAAAAAACTGTGATCCGGAATATCTCCTCGCTTAACATGCTCGCAATACCAAAGCCACAATTGCTCGATGCCTCATAAAGTTACATTACATCATGAAGAAAATCGTTTATTATTTATTACCAGTATAATGTAATATAGTCGAACCTCTCATAAAGAATCTAACTTATTAGTAAATAAATAAACTCTATAAGAGAACATCTTTACAATAAAACATAATTTGGCTGTCCCGACTGTGTTCTTTTATGGAGGTTCGACTGTATTCTAAAACAAATTTGCATTAACTTAAAGCATACAAGACTGAATTGTTATGGTCGTTGTATATGTCTGTCGCATATAAATCCAAACATTACATAAGGTTTCTTGATTGAAATGAATACATGAGTCATAGTTTAGACTACAGTTCATAGTATATATATACGCTTATTTGATAATAAATTAATTCTCACCCAACCACTCATTCAGCATTTCTTTCAATTGTTTCATTTTGAGTGGTTTGGTTAAATAGTCATTCATACCTGCCTCTAAACATTGTTCGCGTGTCCCTGCCACTACGCTTGCAGTCAATGCAACGATTGGAAGCGTCTGAAACTCTGGACTTAACGATCTAATTGCTCGTGTTGCGTCAAACCCTGACATAACAGGCTAATTTAGAATAGAAACCAAGATTAATAAATACATCTTGAACGTCATCGTTAATAATATCAAACCGTGTACCATCAATGCGTACCATAGCGCAATCCATCAAAACCAACGATATCCCCAGTTTGGACTCTAACGACGGACAGCTATCCATGCTACTTGCTTGACTATTTTCATACTGCTTCTGTACCAAATCAACAGCTTCCTTTCCGTTTTCTGCTGTTAAATAACGATAACCTAATTTATCCAGCTGGGTTTTGACGATCTAGAAAAATAATAATTAGATTAATCCATTAACATTCATACTAAACAGCAGGAATTATTAGCAACATACTTTTTGATTGATCGCATTATCATCCTAATGTTATTAAACAATGAATAATAACTTGTTAGCTAACAAATATTTGATGCCGAAAGCCAATAGCAGAAATAATAAATAAATTACCACGCAGAGAATACATTTGGGCTTTTCAATTCTGCTTGACTTGCTTGTTCTTTCTTCATTACTAGATTGGTCCTTCAATTCGCTAGAAGCGGATCTCTTCATTGGAACAAGAGCTTTAGACTTGGACTCGTTCTCACCCTTTGAGGATATAACACCCTGAACTATAACTGGTTCACTTGTATCTCTTTTCGTCGGATAACAGACTGCAGGTCGATTATGATTGTAGAATTTACTGTATGTCGATAAACTATTTTTTCCCATTTCCTGGTTATCCTTATCTCCAGGCTTAACCAAAAACTTGTCGAAATTAGAGATACAATCCATCATACACTTGTGCACCACTGGCTTACAGATAGCCGCAACATCTGTTCCTATTTTCTCAATCATATTCTTCCCAAGCGTGTAACCTCCGATTGACCAAAACACCATCAGCACAATCGATAACCCGTTCCCACAAATACGCTTAAGTTCTTTGGCTGTATTCTCAACTTCTGCAGCGTTACTATTTCTCACGCTCAAAAATACCAAATCGCATATAGGCTCGCCATGCTTCTTCTTATGCTCTCTGGCTGCTTCTAGTGCGCTTGTATAGTTTGCATACGTATATACTTTTTCAACACTCCCCTTAATCAACGCCGCGTACGCTGATCTTGCTGCTTCCAGAGGATCAATTATGAGAACATTTCTAGCCTGATTCGGCTGACCTTGCAATCTGGGATTATCATTTTGTGATGGTAGCTTTGGTAAAGCAATGTTCCATGTAAACCAGAATTTACTTCCTTTACCAACTTTACTATCAACCTTCATTTCACCACCGTTTAGTTCAACTAGATTTTTACATAGAGAGAGACCTAGACCAGTTCCATCCCGACCTCGAGTCATCGAAGCATCTCCTTGCGAAAAGTTTTCCCAAATGTGTTTAATCGACGGCGGGTCAATGCTAAATTAATTGGACAATGAGATACAGCACAGTATACAAAACGTGGGTGTAAGGCCAAGAAGAATGATGGAAAAAGGACGAGAAAAAAGTAGCATCTTACCCAACGCCAGTATCAGATACTTCCACACACAAAAGTTTGTTCGAGTCAAAGTTATCATCCACTGCCATACCTTCGCCGTTTCTTATTGTTAGCTTTAGTACAATTTCACCACTATCTGTGAATTTGATTCTATAATTTAATGATCGTTAGAAAACGTATCCACAAAAGCTAATTACGATTATAGCCAAACAAGTCACATTCTTACGCGTTAGATAACAGATTCATTATCACTTGTTGCAGCCTCTCTGGATCCGTCTTTACGTATCTCGAAAGATTCTCTGGGTCGTATAGAACAATCAATTCAAGCTCCTTTGCGCCAACACGCTCACCAAACGTTGTCACGGTCTTCTCTACAAGCGCCCATAAATCAAAGACGCGGTTTATCAATGTAAGCTTATGCACATCCAATTTGGCTGCATCCAGAATATCATTTACTACGGATATAACCACATCGGATGCGCGGGACATTACTTCAACCATGTCTTGTTGGTCATATGTAAGCTGTGTTCCTTCAAAGGCAGAAAGTGCTCCAGTAATTGCTCCCAACAGGTTACGAAGTTCTGTTGATTATTAAAAAAAAAAAGAATTAAATTATTACTGTGGCGGCTGGCATAGGTAACAAGACTTGTCTTTTTTTAGCGTTACCGTGAGATGTGTTGGCTAGTATTTGGCCCTTGGCTCTATTAGTCTCTTCGATGGCCTTTACTTGTGCTTCTCGTTTTAATTTTTCTTCGACAAGGGTAGCATGGCTAATGGCTAAACTTATTTGGTTTGAGACCTGTTGTAGAAAATTTGTCTCTGACTCTGTCCATTTATGATATGGTTGTCGGTAAGCGATTATCCACCCCCATGGTGATGATCTCAAATGAATGGCTGCGCTAAGAAAGGACACGCGTTGGTTTAAAATCTGTGATTCACAGTCCGAACAAGCTTTTATATCACTTAACAACGAGTCTGGTGTTATATGTCCATCGCAATGATGAAGAGGAGGCTCTGTTTGTTGCTGATCATCACGGAATATACACCCAACAATCTTCCCTGCTTTAACCGTTGGAAGCAATGAAGCAGCCATAACTTTACCGTCAATACTCCCTTCCTCGGAAGTATCCTGTACTATTAATAAAGAATCACATATTAAAACCTTCTTTATTTCTGCGACCGCCGTGTCAAGAGTTTCTTGTATTCCAAAACCAGAACGAATTTTGTTGCTGATAGTAAATAGCAACTGCTTAATTTCAAGCTGATGCTGTTGTTCTGCCATTAGTTGACGACGGACATGAGAAAGTTTAAGATTCACGTGAATACGAGCCATAAGTTCACGAGAGTTGAACGGTTTGATGATATAATCATCTGCACCCTTTTCCAATCCTACAAATACAAAAAAGTTAAAAAAATATTCAACAAGAGAACGTTCACACACGATGACATACCTTCAATACTGGCTTCTCCCGATCGAGCTGATATTAAGATAACCGGAATCGTCTGTGTTGCTGGATTACCACGCAGTGATTTCAGTAATTCATAGCCATCCATGTTAGGCATCATAACATCTATTATTGAACAAAGAAGGGCTCTTAAAAAATGTCCTGTAATTGCATTCAGCTATTTACTGGGAGTAAATAAACCAGAATCTTACCACTAAGAATAAGGTCGGGCAACCGTTGTGAATTGTTTACGATTTTAAGCGCTTCATAGCCATCATCAGCGCAGATACAATCAAATTGTTTCTCGATAAAACTTTTCAAATAGTTTCTAATAATATATTACCACAAACGTTTATATCAAGATGTTATAATAAAGTAAAACCAAATTCATATGCACATACCTCATATCATTATTATCATCGACAACTAGAATATATTTCCTTGTACTCTCAAATTCAACATAGCTAGGCTCCATATGCAATGCTGACCACTCGTCTAGTCTTGGTGATGATGTAGACGATGAACTTTCACTATCGGTTTGCATCGGACTAGGTTGATTAACTTCCTTAGGCAGTTGATTAGACTCTGATTCCTCTGCACGCTGCGTGCGCTCATACAAATACAAGTTTATATTCGAGTTAATTTGGTTTTCATATTCTGCATCAGATTTAGATTTATCTCTGTTGCTTCTAAAGTAAACTTGTTGCTGAGGAAGATGATCGTATCCGGAAGGAATCCAAACACGGAAGGTAGTGCCAACATTCACTTGGGATTTAACAGAGATTTCACCATCATGTCGTCCGACGAGTTCTTTAACGAGAGCAAGACCGATCCCAGTACCTTCGTGGACATGTGAATGTTGCGACTCGATGCGGTAAAAGCGCTGGAAGATACTCGAAAGATGTTCTTCCGCGATGCCAACACCTAAAATTTATGACTGGTCATTGTCACCGTTGCTTAGAATAAAATGAACATTCTGTAATACTTGACAGTACCTGTATCGGATATTTCAAGGACTACCCCTTCATTATCTCCGTTTCTCTCTACAAATAACCGAACAGTTACCCCACCAGTCAATGTATATTTAAACGCATTCGAACCTAAAAAATGACAATTTGGTTAGGAAAATAACATAAAGCGTCATACAACAAGTTTACTTGACTTTATCACTTACATAGATTAAATAGTATTTTTTCGTACATTTCTTGATCTAAAAACATTTTCTGATTCATTTGACCGACAAGTTCTTCATCACTAGGGATATCGAGCTTATAATATAGACCAAGCGCTTTAGCCATACTTTCGAAACTGGCTGCCAACTCTACTGTTAACTTTGCCATGTGCGTTTCGCAAAACCATGCGTGAAGTCGGTTTGCTTCCATGTGAGCGAACTGATTTAGAACAGATGTTAAAACTCTATGATCAAGAACGCGATATAACATGGGTTGTCTATTATTTACCTGGAACAAGCTGTTCACTAAACTATGTAATCTTCGGTTGTTGTTCTGTATTAATTTGAGATTACTTAATATTGGAGATTTCCTAGGACATAGCTCTATTGCTTCTTCCAAAGGTGAAAGCATAAGAGTCAAGGGACCTACGCGATAATTGTAAGTTGCAATAATTTAGTATTACATGTTCACGTAAAAAGAAAATTATATATATACGTAGACATACTTCGCAATTCGTGACTGACATTTTCGAAAAAGGCAATTTTTTGTCTATCCAATTCGGCCAACCTATCTTTTTGTCTTCGTTGTTCTTCTCGCAATCGAGCCTTTGTAAAGACAGAGCTCACGTTGCTAACGACGAGCTACGTCAAATAGAAACAAGTTTCAATAAAAAAAATGTATAACACTTTGTAAACATATAATAATCATACCTGGAGAAATTCTTTGTAATCTTTATCGAATGCTCTATATTGATTGATGCCACATATCATCACGGCTGTCAATGTGTCTTTTCCACCAAAAATCGAAGTCACTGGACATAATACAGCTGTTGAATCATCAGGCAACCGTATAACTATATCGCCGCCACTGTATATTGCGCGTTCTACTGGCCATGGTACAGTAGTGGTTGAATATGCGTCCAAATGGACAATATCTTCCTCAGAATTAGGCATGACTATTACATCAGGCGTCTTTAACAAATAGTCAGGTATATCTCTGCTTGATTGTCCATGTATATACATATATTCTTCATTTCCGTCAGTTCTTTTGGCGCGTACGAGACCACTATCGAATGTTGTGGCTTGTAAACGTGCTCTTTTTGGTTTGTCTTCAAATCCACCTTCTTGGTTCTCCACAAGATAAAATATAGCATATGGTAGATCTTTATTCCCTCGGAAAATTTCAGTAATAAAATGACAAGAATTTTCAACAGATATCACTCCTGTGTGTGTATAAATGTAAGATTAATATCGATGATGTGAATTAAACAATATAGAGTCTACTCAAATAGTTGCCTTGCGTTCCATTAACCAGATCTCTGAATGTTTCCAGTCTTCTATTAGTTAGTATATCTTTCGTTGTTTCTTGCGCCAAGGTGATCAATCCTCCTACTTCCCCAGTGTCAGTATACATTGGGCTGATAGTCCAAGTAAAGTATGCTTCTTCTCTATAACCCGATCGAATAAAATACGGGCAGAAATCTTTAATGAATTGGCCTTCTCCTTTAAGAGCTCTGCAATGCAAGTAACTAGTCAGAAACTATCCAAGTGCGAAAGTAAAATATGGTAGTAGTTAACCCGATGATATGATCATACATACTTCTCAAATATTGGCACTAAAAAATCGCGTGCTTCAGGATATGTTAAGGTCGCCGACGTCCCTATGCCTACAATAGTTTTGTTATTACACGTAGCGTAAGATAAATTCATGTAATACTATTTATACTTACAAGGATGATTGGTCTGAATGAGTGGTAAAAACACTAATATTAATAGTAATATAGAAATATGAATAATCAGATATACAGCAAGCGGTCAGTCTTTCATTATTAGATGATATACTTACTTTGGTTGTATATGTAAATTCTATCATCCCCAATATACAAAACCATGGGATACACGGTATTGAGACACAAATCCTAGACATTAATTGAAAAAGAACGTTCATTCCTTTCTCTAATTTACGCATTATGATTGATTCACTCTTATTTACTTACAGTGACGAATTTCAACCAGCGAGGCCAACTGTCCATAGGCCCCAATGGGGTAGACGCCCAATCAAAGTTACGTACTAACTCTGCTACCGAGGGCTCATCATCAAGGTTTTTCGAGGCTTCGTCTGAATTTGTGGCTGAGGTAGCTGTGAGGTTCGACATTAGGATTAATCCTTCAGAGTTTCAGTTTGTCAGTACATCGAACGAGTGAGAGAGTGTCAGAGCAATGTCGAGTAATTTCTATAACAATGAAGAAGTAACAACATCGCGGGTTTTCTATAAAAACGATTTGTTTGTGTGCAAATGACGAGATTTCGAGCCTGGACCGGGCTAGGCGGATCGCTCATGCATTGCAAGTTTCACTAGCTGTGGGGTAAATGAACACAAGAATAACGTAAATCTTTTAGAGGTTTCGCCAAAACGGCGGTTAATATTAATTTCTAACAATTAATCTAACGACTGCATCTTTATATCAATGCCCACTTGTATTACGCGAAAGGTTTCGCATTCACACAAAAGTTAGAAATATCTTCCGCTAGCTGAACGTATAAACTCAACAGTATCCAAAACGCTGACAAGTAAATAAATCTTAAAATTACCGATATACGATTATATTACTGCATGAGGGTACCTTCGTTAAAACCCGTATACCGTTTATAGCTGGAAAACCAATAACATATAACGTGTTTCTGGTAAACCTCAATTGACTCGTGCGAGAGATTCAGATAAAATGCCAAAATTCGACAAAAATCACGTTACTGAACAAACATAACATGGCCTGTCGAAAAATAAAGATATTTATCTGCGAGCAAATCTCGTGTTCCACAGTAGACAAGTCTTGCTCGTGTATACCATCTTTATTACGGATAGAATGCAAAGGCGATACGTTTAGAATGAGACTCAACAATGTATGTACAAATATGATAATGTACAACTTTATTGCAAAGCTACGCAATACCGCGCTATAGCTATTTTAACATATTGCCAGCGAACTTTTATGCAAATAGACAGAAATATGCTTATTCGCGTTTTCACGTGAATGCATATGATGAGAAAGACGGGTTGTTTCTGTTACGAAGGATTAGAAGACGTACATGTTGTAGCAACCTAGGGACTGTTCTGGTGAAGTTAAAAGTTGACCAGCGCCATGGAAAAATCATAAAACAAATTAAATAAGATCTTATTATTTTATACATATATGATGCGTAGGATGTGGGAGTCTTCAATTTTTTTTGCAATGGTTTCAACAGCTTGTCAGATCGAGTCCTTGATACCTCTTGAGGGGCCCATGGATCTTCCGCCATTTCTTTATATATTATTGGCAAGCGGAAGTTTGTTTTCAAAGGAGAATTAACAAAAAATTCACATGTAAATTATTAAAATTGTTAATATAATATAAGAAAACAAAATTACTGTAAAGCGACAAGTAACAATATATTCACCATACTGTCTTTTACGGTTCTCCTCTTTCCGATAAGATAAGCCGAGGGAGAAAAAATCCCTTCGTGCCAGAGATATAGCTGTATATCTATATCATGTACATGTGGAATTTGGTTTAGCATGAGACAATCAGCTTGTATTTCTAGTTTTGATACAAATAACAGACAGCTATCATGATCTTTAATCCGACTCCCAGGCCGGTAACTGAATAATAAGTTTGTTTATAAAGCGAACTGTAAAAATGGTAAGAGATACGATCCTAATATTTTTGGTATATGCGGAAGTTCCAGAGTGCATGGAGGCAACAGATTGTTATAAAAGAAGCGACTGAGAATTGTAATTGAAGCCGCACCATTGAAGTAGTTAACTAAGTTATTATTATAAAATTGTTTCATTTTTTATTATTTTATTACCAAAATTTATCTCTGTGAATCCAGCAAATTTAAAGTATTTATCAGATTCCTTGATTGACAAAGAAGAAGAAAATTGAAAATAAACAATACTTGCTGGTGTTTAAGAGAACGCGCGTAAAAATTAAATAATTGCTTAATTTAACATAAATAAAATATATCCGATTTTTCCTAGTAAAAAAACCCAGATGTTTACTCATCATACCTTAAAGTTTCTGGAAAAGTATAGTGCTAAGAAACTCATGTTCACCTCAGAATTTCGAACGGCATTCAAAAACATTAATGGTAATCCTTGTAGTGATTTTGATCGCACGACGACGAAGTTCACTCGATTGATATTCTACGCGTGACCACTCATTGTAGATGAATGTAGAGAGTGTTGCCTAAATACTTTAATGAGAAAAAAGTGAGGCATAAAAAATTCCTGTATTTCAAAAGATCATGATTATCACGAAAGCGTACGTTATGTGAGAGAATTTCTAGTTAACTGAGAATCCGAGGTGTAAAAATGTTGGTAGTATCCCAAGTTGAGGTAAAAGTTTATAGTTTTTGAGGAGGTGTTGGGAGATGGTGAAAGAGGGACGCATTTTCGAGATACGAGTAAGATTTCTTGAGTTGAAAAGGCGCTGATGTAGAAACGATAGGACTTTCATTTTAATTCTTGAGAGCTCAGCGTTAATTTGTACATCAATAGTGAGAAATGCAATTTGCAATGTTGGCATTTAAATCTAATTCAAAAGTTTTCAGCTAATTTATGCAAATAGCATAACTGTATATAGTACAAATAAGTGATAAAATACCCAGCAAACTTAGAAATTTTTGCAGAATGTCTGTAAGTTTCAATTAAAACTAAACTCAATTGCAATAAACCACCGTAAAATTCGGATCAATTCGATTGTCGAAATTACTATTACGAAAGTGATAAAATCTATATATAGGATTATCCGTATATGAAGAATACTATAACGGTTCTGTTGAATATGAAAAAGCCATGCGTTTCTTGGATATAGGTTGTATTGTGGTTGCTCAAAAAAGATTCCAAGAGAAGAGTTTGCTGAATTACGTGAGGCGTTTCAAGCTCTTTCTAGACCCGAGAAAAATATATTTTTAATGGCTCAACTGAAAGCAATGAATGGCGGAGAAATAACTGTCAGCCGACGTCTTAAAAAGAAAACGCGTACGAATAAAAAAAACTTTTTATTATTGGGATCGTAATACGCCTCTTTGTCAGAAAACGTATCTCAATATGTTAGAAATTGGCCGCACTCACTTCGAAATCACTTGTATAATACCACGTGTTCATGGTGAGGTAAAAAGAGTGCCGCGATGGAAAACTAAAATAACCATTGATATAACTGTTGCTACCGCCGTGAAGAATTTTCTCGAAAACTATGCTGAAATCCGTGAATTACCAAGTCCCGGTAGAAATGTCAATCGCATTACTCGATCGCTTACACTTTTGCCAGCCGAAACGAGTTACAAATCGGTCTGCCGTGATTTTATTGCAGGTCTAGAAAACGATAGCACTAACAAAATAAGGTTAGGGACTTGGGCTTAAAAGAAAAACAACTAGATCAGATCATCCCGTAAAAACCCTAGATAATAATATTAATATTAATGATTTCATTGATAACTGAGATTGATATTTCTAATGAAGCGGGTTGAGAAGGTAAATTAGAAGCTAAGTTTAGTGGTTGATAATTGTCAATTGAAGATTGACCTAATTTAGAATTATTATCTTTTCGGCATAATAAAGTTAATGAGATAGATTTAACTGAACTAGACAAACTAGAGGGTTTGTATTGCTCAAACAATCAATTAGTTGAACTAGATTTAAGCAATAATTCGTCATTAAAACATCTGTGTTGTGATAATAATCCTATTGAAAAATTAGAAATTAAACATTTAGAGAATTTATTGTTTTAAGCGTAATTTAGGAGAATTAGATTGTAGTGGGCTAAAAAAATTAGAAGGGATTCATTGTGCAGATAACTTCTTTGTTTATGAGTTGGATGAAGTTAGCCATACTTTGGAAAAAATTAAAGTTCAACATTAGAAATCTTAGATTGTGCTGAGAATAGTGTTTTTTTTTTATTCGCAATATTTTTGCGTGGATTGATCTAATTTTAAATTTTTTCTATGTTGTAAGTGTCCGTTCATGTCTCTGATATACTAATACAGATACTCTAACATGCGAGCTTTTTAAATCACCCCATTACCCAATTGTTCAAATACGTGATAATACTCTCAAGTAAGAACAGCCCAGAGAGTGCCTAGAGATGCTAGGCAGGTACATACGGTAATGATAAAGTAATCTATCAACTTTTGTCGGAACGACAGCTCCCATCCAAACAACTTGAGGTGACAAACGCAAGGAAAAATTGCGGAAACCGAATACGAAAAGAAAGATCCTAAAATTCCCATCACCTTATCAAACCCAGGGAATTGGATTGCCAACCAAACGACAAGTGTAGATATCAGTAAACGAGTTGCAATTGTGAGAGCCGTTCTACGACCACGTCCTGAGTTATACCACTCCCCAACCGCCGGAATGGAAGAACAATATATTTCCAGAGTTAGATTGATTGGATTGAGTGTAAGGGCGTATTTAGCTAATGGATTGATGGCAATCATCCAGACAACGATTTGGTTAAGGACTTTGTTATAACCGGGAGTTGCCATAATGTTTTGAGTAACCTAAATAATTTCATTTTGAATATGTTGATACAAAAGGACAATCATGAAACAAACAAATTCTTGAAAATGCAAGCATCCACCCCTACCTCTTCTTTGGTTTCTCTGCCAAACATTAAATATCCGCAACATGCCATTATCATGTAAATGGTAGCAGTCACTGCATAAGTAATGTTGACCATCTTGGGATAGTGTTTAGGTTCCTTCATGTCTCTATAGATTGCTGGAAACACGGCATGACCTAATTCAGCGTGAAAAGCAGATAATATAAGTGGCTGTGCAAACGTGGCTATGAGGTTGAACTGCAAGTAGTTAAACTAAACTAAAATAACCCTATTAAGACTGCCTGTCTACACTTACCCGTGAATCCAGCCATAATTAGACCAAAGCTCAATGGGAGAGTAGCCAATGCTGGAGGCCAAGTATCAGTTTCCATTGGGTCCAATAAGCTACCAGGTCTGGCGGGCTTTGATAGACCATCAAAGACCAGTATAAGGGCCAGATAAGATGCTGATAATATCCCAAGTAGAGAGAAATACGATAGGTATCGGATTGGCATAAGTGTCAAGGGAGACATAATAATCCATGCTAATATTTTAAAAGCGATGATCGAGACATCAGGGAAGATCGTGTGTAATGAATCCCCAACGAGGATGACCAATGCAGTTGCACAAGCCAAAAGTTCTAAAGAGAAGAGAAGAGATATCACACTCCTTGCTCCCTCTCCAAATGCAATTGCGCCTATATCATAGATGGACGGATGTTAATAGTGTATATGGGATGGAATACAGTAAATACACCCAAAGTAATTGATACATACCCATGTCAGCATAGGTATGGAGTCCTTCGTCATAATCAAGACACTTGGCGAGAATCTTGGCAGTGTAATTGGTGACTATTAAACAGAAGAAAAATAACGACAGTCCAATTGCCCAACCGGCAAGTTTGAATCCCAGCGGCAGAGCAAGTATACCGATGCCGATCAGTATATTACATGAATTGAATATCGACTGTTTAAATGTTGATCCGTATTGCATTGGAATGGCATGGACATCCTGTATCACTGATACCGGTATCGATGCTGATACTTGAGAGCCCCTGTAATTACATATTATCTTGTAAATAATTCCACACTGAATCAATCAAGACAAAGTGACGAGAGTCGTACCTCCTCATAAGCGGAGCAGATTCGGGTATATCGTATAGTTTCGGCAACTCACTCCTCACCGATGCTCTCGACATCCTTCTTGACATTTGTGGACGTGTCTCTGATACATCAGGTGCCGAACTGTCAAAATAATCTGTTGATCCAGCCGGACTGCCTGCAATGGGTGCCAAAAAGGATCCATATCCACTTAACGGACTAAAGTATCTACTAGCTAACGACGAACCGTCTACTCCGTAATATCCATATGGATTGTGTCGTAAAGATATATTTATTGGATTCATGCGTGAATCGTGAGGCGGTGAATATATTGAAGTGGTTTCTGTGGGGCCTTGTTCGACATTGTCGAATTCATTTGCCGTCAAGTACGACGCCGGAATAGCAATGTTATCTGACATGTAAGTACTGAGGGTAACGACGATGTATTAGGAATGCAGACGAAAAATGATCCATAAAGTTGAAAACAAATCTCATCATCAATCAAATCACCTTGCCGTTGTGGCAAGATTGCCTGTCCATGATTGGAATGTGCTCGCTAAGCTGTTAGCTACTCCCGCCGCGCCTGCTTGAGAGCTTCGTCTTCGATTACGAAGGTTACGAGACTCGGGAATGTCTATTGCTGGTAATTGGTTGCCTGCCGACATTTTATCTGCATAAATGTAAAACGATGGTTTAGTAAACGTATCCGGTGTTGATTTTAAAAAATAGAAGGGTAGCACAGATGTACTGACAGTTGTTTATGAAATAGTCAAGATAAATAAATAAACATGCACTATCTGTCCTATAAATTTCCGTTTGACAATCAATCTGATCCTTCTTCTCAACATGACTCACCCTCTTTTATATTGGCTACTATTTGCCAAACTTTCTTTATTTGACTCTCTATCTAATAGTTGATCCTATACTAATTAGGACACAACCCTCAGCCCGTCAGATAAGAGCGCATATTGCGATGTAAAAAATCATCATTTACATAAGGATGATACGGTGATGCATCTGAAAAGAACGCAACTAAAGGAAATAAAAATAGGTTTGATATGGAAGATAAACAATAAACAATGAGTGTTACGTACCGACGACTTGGCGTTAACTGTGGTAGGATACTGAAAATCGAATGAATAGCCCGCAAAGCTTGGTTTTTTTTTGTGCCAGACAGAATGAGATTCGTCGCTAAAGCTCAAAGACTTACGAATCGTGCGCCGACAGCATTTCTTGTGGATTCGATTGTTAATGTTTTTATCATTATGAGGTTATCCCATCATTTGTGCGTGAAAGATTTACAGAGGGCATTACCATGAAAGTGTATATAGATAGGGGCATCCGCATAATATCGTTCTCCACCACCCCCCGTTTCAGCGATACATTATCGAGCACAATCGTTCCCCGCAATCCAACCCCTCACAATTGTCTCTACTACTCAATACTCTGTATAATATCCAAGAAACAAGAAATTGCATTCACTCAATCATTATTTCGGATCTATGCAGTACTAAAAATAAAGTGCAATTCCAGTTATCCATTTATGCAACATCAGCCATTTGCGTAGGACGAACAGTAACTGCCTTTATTGAGGGTAGGTGCTGTTGTAGAGTATGAATGACCTTCCATTAAGCTAGCGTTAGACCGTATAATACTAAGACAGTAATGGCATAACTGTGGCAATTAAAAACCATTGTTGTCATTGAAACTTGGATACCCTCTTATGATAGTGAACATGCAGAGTACAGGGTAGCTTGTTGTAGAAATGACATCATAACCATAAAGCCCATGCCAATGCATCACAACGTTTTAGCTTGGTTGGCCCAATGTCCTCGATGACCCCATAAGATCCGCGCGTTAATCGTTACGGACAGATCGAAGTCTGTTCGCAAGTAATCTGTGGATCATATGTTAAAATAATCGAATTACCGAATGAATCCTGTTTGCTGAGATAGAGTAAACAGGACTATATAATATTTGGTTAGTTAGATATACAAGCTGCATGGATTGACCCATAAACATAAATACGCAATTGTAGATTGTGATAAACATCAAGAGTGAAGAGATATTATCTATCATTATTCGGTAGGCATTCATTTAATACATGCACACAAAACAACGCTTCTACTACATCATATGACCCGAATATGACCCGATTAATATTAAACCCCAGAAGACCCTTACATGTCCACGCGACTTGTTTGAGTTATTTATTATGCAGATGTGAAACTCGTAACAAACATTTGAATTTACTATCCAATTATATTTTATATTCGATTCAATTGACCGATTGCGTTACAAGTTGATATTGAGTGGTTAGGCCGATTTTTTATCGATACATTCGTGATTTCATAACGTTTGACAAGAGAAAAACCATTCCAGTGCTTAAATAATTATATTTTTCGCGGCATAGGTTCCAAATGTAATATTTCTTCAAAGAATACTTTCATCATGTCAGTCTTTATAATATTTTGAGCGATAACATAAAAAGCAAGGTTAGTAAATGTATTCCCCAGAATTATAATGTTGTGGACTTATAATTAAGGTTGAAAATTTGATTGTCGAAAGAATTATTCGAGTAGACTACCGAGATTTCTCGAGTATCATCTATAATAAGCGGTAAATTTTGCGGAAGAGGATGTTACGCCATAGTAATAGGTAGATAAGTGGTATAATTGCGTGCGGAATACGAGGAAAGCACTTCATGACGTGCTTTGTTGATTAACTAGTCTCGTACGATATTAATCAGAGTCTAGGCGAATATTCCCGGAGGCACAATCGAATAATTCATACTCTGCGTAGCATCGGATATTTATGCTCGACTCTAGAATCCCCGAAAACAGTACTTTACAATAGTAATAGACCAGGACACTCATATGAACATTCTAATTACCTAGCGATGCCAGTTGTGTGTTTTTTATCATTTGGTAGAATGAGCAGAGACGATAATCAATTTCACTTCGATGTTTTATATCAATACTGTCTGCCATTGACACGATATTTGGTAATAAATTTTATGAAGAAACTGGACATTGTTAATCTCATTTGCGTTAAAACGTGCATTCTAGAGTAATTTGATCTGTCGCACACTAACACGAACGCGACTCACCTTATATTTCTCAACCGTATTTATGATGGTAATGCAACTACAGTCTAATCTGGTTATACCGAATTCTATGGGCTGGAAAAAATATTCCTTATATCCTGAAATTCCTTATAACCAAGGTCTCGTTTATGATTGGTTTGGAGACATTCTTCATTATGAACAGATCTTCGTTATAGCCAAAGTATTAGACTGTAGCTTGCTGTTGTCACTGTTATAGGTAGAAGGTTTCCTTATTAGCCTGGGTGGGCGATGGTGAGGTTATTAATATTAATCTTATCTTCATAGAGACTGGTGGCATTCATGAGATCTTCTATCATTCGCTCTAACTATCTTCAAGAATTCCTTTACTTTGTATGGTAGGTACTGAGATGAATAATATAGGATTTTTGAATCTCACCCTTTATTATATCTCGTTTGCTTTGACTGGAAATAGGAGTGAATTACATGATATTTGGCATGGTGTGATTCGGGCAACGTTAAGAACAACCAAGTCGTCCTAACAATTATCCATTCGCTCATGTAAATATATAACTCTATGAAGGTACATAATAGTATTATTTTACATTTGTATGATATATTAATTATTTTGTGTGATGTGACACAATAAACGTTGAGAAGCTCTCTCCGTGATTGTAGGAAAAACTTCTTATTCAAAAGATGTCATTAGTTCCACGGATTCGTTACTTATTTGGACGACGAGGGGTTACTAATCCAGCAATTGACAAATTTATTCAATCCTCGGAAAATAAATATGGTAGTAAACTTGAATGGATTCCTTACTCCGAAATTACCGACATAACGTCAAGTCCAACGGACAACGTCTACTACGCTATTTACAAGCGGAGATATTATTATGCTGACAAGATAATATTGTTATCACTTGGAAGTAGTGAAGAATGTACACCAACAGTTGTGAGTGAGTTTGCTAGAATATACTCACTTCCAACGCACAAGCATGATAGTAATAGCAACAACTTCAAAAGATATTCCACATGGCTTAAAAGCGCAACAAACTCATAAAGGGTTTTACCGAGCATGACGATAAATATTATATGGTTGCTGATGAACGCTTTTACCCTTGCTACTCTCGATATGGATTCTGCTCCGCATGTGGAATACTCCGATGTAGTCCCGTGTGGTGCGTTTGCGGTCATAAACAATTATCCGATGGATGGACTAGCAACAATAAGCAACTCGATGAGTTTATTAAGAATTCTCAATTACAAACAAACTCACCAAATCATGCCTATTTGGAATGGCTTCCATTTGATAGTTTTTATAGGGGGAAGTATGGCTTAATCTTAGATGGTCTACCTACTCCTCATCATGTTAATTTTAAATTGACTCCGCTTGAAATAACAGACGAGACACATGATTTATATTATGCCGAGGTAAACTATTTACTTATACTAATACGTCATGTTTATTGAATTGCTTAAATAATTATTGACTTATTATTATGTATCGTGTCCGCTAGTTATGTGATAATAATAATAATAATAAGCATGTTTGGATAACTATTGGATTTACATATATTACAAATGAACAAAAGTATTATCTACTAAAATGTGAGAATGGAATATGTCTGTCATGTACAGCAGCATTTGAACCTAGCATAAGTACATTCTGTTATGGATGTAAAGCACCAAGACCTCTCAATTGGACTACAGGCAACAATTCATTGGATTCATTTATTATGGAGTCATGGAATAATACAAATAACAAAGATGATGCATATATACAATGGATTGAATACTCTCTATTATCAAACATACAAGAGATGACATCATTACACTACAGATGCACACATATAGCAGAATGGTTAAAACCAACAGCAAATGAATTGACATGTGTGACACTCAAAAAGATAGTTGAGCAAAATGATCCATTATTTGATTTTCATCAGGTAAATTATTTTATGCATAAACTATGCAAATAGTTACTAACTTACAGCACATGTTAATGTGTGTCATGCATTTAACATTGATTATTGTTGTAATGACTATTTTATTTACTCAAACAGTTAACCAAGGAATATCCTGAAATATTGACTCCAGATAATATTTGGATAATTGGGATCACTGAAGAACCATCTTCTCATGAATACTATTTAGTGTTTTACCACATACGTGCATTATTGGACAAATTTATACAAACCAATGCACATGTCAAGTATATGCCATATACTGACTTTGATGAAATTAAGGAAATTGGATCTGGATGTTATGCAACTGTCTATACAGCCAGGTATTCAGAAGAGAATAGTAATAGGCCACGAACTGTTGCACTCAAACAGTTTAAGAGTTTTGATGGAATGCAGGAGTTATTTCTTTCCGAGGCAAGTAATAATTGGTATGATTAATTAAAGCGATATTTAATCTGACTCTGCATGTATTTTATTTAATAGTTCAGAAACCATGCCAAGTGTTGTAGTAATAATAGCAAGGATTATTATTCTTATTTCCTTGAAATTTATGGAGTGACACAAGACCCGGAAACAAAAGAGTGCATGATTGTTATGCAATATGCTAACAACAGTAATCTTTTGTCTTATTTGGA